CCCCCCCCCCCTCCCTCGTCTGCGGGCCCCTGCTTTCTTCAGCCTCTTTGACCAGTTCGACCCACAAGAAGAGATGAGGCAAATGTGGGCATTCATCCTCAAGCAATTTGGTGTCTCCGCGCCTGCTTCCTGAACAGCAGCGCTCAAAGCCCCGCTTCTCCAATTCCTCGTTTCAACTTGTTCGCTTGGGCTCTACATACCTTGTGCCAAATATGACACGCTTCCACGACAGATGTAGAGAAGACGCATCCGTGGCAGTGGCGTTTGATCAATCGGCCAGAATATCGCCGTCGCAAGAGAAATGCATTGCCCGAGACAAGGTATGGATACAAGCGCATCTGGCAAGACGCAGCTTTCGGAAAAGAGAAGAACTAAGCAGAATTTTAAGAAAAAGTGTGACCTGATCATACCGGCATTCGGAAAGTCGTTGAGGGGAAAAGGGGGGGCGCCAAGAGAAATTCCTGTCGTATAGCATTGCTCTCAAGGCTGTTCAGTAAATGAAGGCAACCAGTTGAACTCCCAATTGCTGGGCGTGGAAAAGAGGTTGGAATTGAATCCAGGAAAGCCGGCCGAGGGGGTTCCAACGGAAAGGGATGTTTGCTGAGAGGTGGAAGGTGGCTCAACGGCGGCAGCGCTCTGGTAGAGATTGGAGCCAACGTCTTGCGGAGCTGAGGCGGTCGCGCTGGCTATAAGACTCGCGAACGAAGCGGGTGAGGGTGCGGATAATGCTGCTGCACCAGCGTTCGAAGTGTTCGTACTACCCCAGGGATCCAAACCTGACCACTCCGCAATCGACGCTGGTGGAGGTTGGGTCTGCGAGGCCGCAGATAGAGGAGGCTGCCAATTTGGCTGTCCAAGTGGACGCTGCACAGGCTCTGGTCGCACAGCCTGCTGACCCTGCGCCAGCATCCATGCCCAGAGGGCGTCTGTCACCTTATTCGCTTCGCCAGATCCTTGCCGACTCGGCGCGTGATGGCTCGGGAAGTTGCTATTCGCGCCATTGTTGTGGTTCTTGTACCCACTGTGATCCGAGATGGATGTCTGCGGTGAAGCGGTGCGCGAATGACCTTCGATGCTACCTTCTCCAAAGCTTCCTCTTGCCGCATGACCACCAGAAGAGGAGCCGGAAGAATGGTCTAGGAAGGAGCTGTTGCGACTCATGCCACCTGGTTCGTTGCTCGCATTGCCATTTGTCGACGCTTGGCCGCTACCATCGCTAAGTGGCGAACCAAAGTCCGCCAAGAACTTGGAGATGTCAAAGGCATCGCTCTGTCCATCTGCAGGCGAAAGAAAGTCGAGATTTGCGCCCGGCGTCTGACCATACAACGTTGCGGCATCGAAATTCGCAAACGACGAAGGCTCGTCTCTGTAAGGCGGGGCCGTCATGAGTTGTTCCATGAGCTCGCGACTTCGAGCATCCTTGGCAGCGCACTGAGATTCGCTAGACGTTGGCGAACCATCTGCACCGGTAGCGGCAACCGGAGTGCACGCGGTGCCAGATTTTTCAGCATCCTCCTCTGGTCCGCTTGCAGCCCTGGCGACCCGCAAAGCCAAGCTGAGCAGATTTTGCTTGTTCTTGCCAGAGCCTTGTTCTCCGTCTCTTTTGCGCTTGTTGGACGCTGCATCGGTGCCTGCGCCCGCTTCCCAACGGGCTGCCTCTTCCTCCAGCAGCGCCTCGATCACGCGAATACTGCGACTGGTCGTGTGGTGGGCGGAAGCAACATGACGAAGCGCTTTGACAGCCTCGCCAATTTCTGATCTGACGATGGTTCGCATTGTCGCAGTGGGTCTGATCTGCAGCAAATCCAGACACAACACGATAGCTGCGCTGAAAGATTGACCGAGGTTGAGGAAGAGCCGATCGATGACTGAGCATCGCGCTCGGATGCGGCGTTGCAAGTCTAGGATTGAGCGAGCTAGCAAAACACAGCTGTGTCTTGAAGATTGCCTGGACAAGTTGGGTCTGTGGAGGCGCAAAAGACGATGAAAGACGGTCTGCTGCAACAAAAAGCGCTCCACCTCCATGTTCGAGCCCGCTCCTTCCTCGCTGCCAACGCGGAAGAACTCCGGCACCTCGTCGGCCAGCAGCATACGATACCGCCCGTCAAGGTACTCGATGTCGTCGCCACTGAGGCCTTTGGTGCCTTGAATCTCCCGCTTATTGTGCAAGTCGATGTGCTCGCGAATGAGCGACATGAGCTTGTACTGCACCAGCAAGAACGACATTTCAGTATACTTGGTGGGCGGATGAGGTGGTGGAAGTGGCGACTTGCACAGGTCCTCGTCGTTGTAATTAGAAGGCGGAGGCGTGTTGAAGTGGTCGGGATGGACAGTGTAGGCGCCACCCGTAAAGGTCGCACTGCACCAATCCTTGTAGCATAGGCAGTACCAGATACGTTTGGCGAGCTCGCGACGAATCTGCACGCCCACATTCTCCCCCGGCTTCGGTGACCTATCTCTCGATCCCAGCTTGTGCAATCCCATTTCTCGCGCGTTGGTGATCGCGACGTGCATGAGGCCAAAGTTCTCGCGACCAGTTCCGGCAGCGTGAAGGTTGACTAGGATGATTGCGACGAGTACCGACAACGAAGAGCTTGACTGGTATCTTGCCAGCACAAGAGCCGTCTGAGCAGCTGAACGCCACAAATGGACGGTCCGACCATCAAAGAGGTGCATGACCATCTCTGGCCTTTCAGGATCGCAGGGATGGAAGTGCAATGCAAGGACGAATACCATGAGCAGTTGCGCTAGCCATCCCGGATCCACAATGTTGATGACGCGTGCTCGTTTCTCTACCGTGTCGAGCGCATACAGCGCAGCCACCTCCTTACGGAAGGAAGGCATGTGTATGACATGTCCTGCCAGCGCCTTGACCCGCTCGTCGAACACGTTCACCAGGTGGTTTGCGACCTCGTGAGAAGGTAGGCTACGAAGGATTGCACGCAGCACGGCTTCTCGCTGCAGCGCACCGGGACATCCTTTGACTTCGTTGACACTCTTCATGTCGCCAGCTGCCTCTGCGGCTGCAAATGCCCAACCAACGCCCCATCCTAGCGCCGTTTCCGGGCCGGATATGAGACGCAGAAGCGAGTCGGAGTGGTTAGAGAGCATCCGACATACAACGCGAGCGGGCGACAGAGGCTTGCCGTCGTGACCGTAGTAGGCATCGAGTGGCAGATCTTTGTAATACTCCTCCGTGTTGCGACACGTCGCAGCCTTCTGTGCCATCTCGGCAGCTCGGGCTTTATCTTCGTCAGTGCACTGATACTCTGCGGTGTCCATGATGTTGCGAGTCCGGTCCGCTTCAACAAAGTCTTGAATCGCCTTCGTCGGTGCTCTTCTGATGACATCGTCATCGCCTCGGTCGGCCGCGGGGAGTCCTCCGGCCTTTGCCAGCTTGCTAGCTTTTGTGCTCTTACCGTCTCGGGGTCGCGAGCCCATCGCAAGACCTTCAAGCACCAATGCTGCATCTTCCGTGTCGCTGTCGACCTCCGCCCGATGAGCTGCGCCGGGTGTCTCTGGCGCCACTGACGGCCTATGGAGAGCCGAGGCACTGTTGCGATCGTCTGCGCGGCCCAGCGAGCTTGTCAGGCTGTTACTCCTGTCGAAACGAGCGTCGAAGGCACTGGTGGGGCTGTTGCTAGAGCCCGTTTGGAGTGATGGCAAGCGAATGCCGTCCGGCAAGCCATGCGACGTCGATGTGCTCGAAGCACCGAACGCCGCAGCACTGGCCGATGTCGAATCGAACAGGTTCGCGGAAGATGTGGACCTGCTTGGTGCGGCGCCGTGAGAAGAGATGGACTTGGTCGACTCGTACGTCGACGGGACGTACACCTGCGCCAAGCTCTGAGACACAGATGCTTGCGATGGTTGAGAAGGTGTCAGGTTTGGCACGACGCGTCCACTTGCTGCAGTGCTTGCCTGGAGGGCGGCCTCGAGCTGAGCTAGTCTCGCTTTGATCGCCGACACCTCCGCGGACTCCCATGAGACCTGACCTTGAATGGTAGGGTGCACAGGCGCATCGCGAGAATGATGGCCGTACTCGTCGCTCAGTGGATGCGCGTGATTGGTTTTGGCAGCAGCATGTTGAGCCTGACTCTCGGCTGCAGACTTGGATGGCTGTTTGGGTGCGGGTCCTGTCTTGTTAGGGTCCAAGTGACAAAAAGCTTGATCGCCACGCTTGATACACTGAGTGCAAGGAATGACGCGATCACACTTGACCTTGCGCTCGCTTTGGGTGTGGTAGGTGCAAATCGTGGTCAGCGTTTGTCCTCAGTGGCGAGCAGAGCTTCATCACGAACGCACCGGCAGAGCGTGCAGCTCAAAGCTGCGCGATTGCGCTTCCGAGGGGGCCCTCGGCTACTTGGCTCGTGAGCAGAGTGATCGTGACCATTGTGGTCGTGATGATCTTCAGAGCTCGTGCTACTGGCGCGGTCGCTCATGATAGGAACAAAGGTGGCGAGCACGCAGCAACGTCGGTGTGTTGAGGGGCGTTGTCTGCGCCCGAGCGAAGAGGGAGGTAAACGCCGAGGTTCACCGCTTCGGGCTCAAGAGACTGCGCCGAGCGAACCTGTTGGTTGAAGTCCTCGCTCGAACACGCCGAGTGGAAGCTTGCAACCGAGGGGGGCGGTGCGTCGGGGTTAAAGGCGTAGGAGCGCACAATGCAAGCTAGTCAACGAAGTTAGAAGTGGCAAAAAAGGGCTGATCAGAGAGCCTGATGGTAAAATGACAGTTGGCAGCTGATGTCCCATTTGTTGTAGACCACGTTGTATCTAGACTCGACTTGCTC